GGACATGCCTTTAATCCCTTTGGTAATTTGGAATCTTCATCAACAACTGCTTTAAAATGCTGTAATTCTACCCTTCCTTCAGGAAACTAAAAGTAAAAATGCAGAATAATGCAATGGCTTATATTATAAATTAGGTGAAAACACTTTATTTTCTTAGTTTTACCTGAAAGTATCTACTTTTCAAAAGATTGTTTCGCATACATTTTAAAATATTGGTACATCAATAATAGCCAGTACTGTACTTGTCTATCTGCAACAGGGTTTGTAAATGAGCATTGTATATTATTTGTGTCTGCACAAATTCCTAGAGCTTTTAAAGCTGCTTTGTTTGTTCTGGCACCATAACAAACTATTGCATTGACTATTGCACCACACTGTTCTAAATGAATAATTGCTTGCAAAATAAGTTTTGCAACAGTAGAACCTGGGACACAGCTTTTTGAACAGAATGTGTCAATACATTGTACCCAACTAGCAAAGTGAGGTCTGAACATAAACATTAGGCCATGATCACCTGATGTAAATTCACTCTGTGGCAATACAGAATTGTCACCACAATCAACATTTCACCAGTAGCTTCTGAAAGTTCTATATGTTTTTGAAGTGTGATTTCATCAAAAATTAAAACTCCCTGGCATTCTGTTTGTGGAATAGTCTCCAATTTTGTCTTTGAAATAACAAAAAGATCTTCATCAAATCCAAATTTGGCATTAATGCCTGTGGTGTATTGATGCAGTGTAGACTGACAGGGTAAAGGCAAGTAATCATTATTTCTCAAAAATTCATAGACAGAGGGTTACCTAATTTTTAAAAGCAAACAGTCAAGTAACCAATTAATGTCATATCTCATACCCTTTTTGCTTTGCATATGGCATGCTTTCAGTATGTGCTCTATTACAAGTTTCTATCTCGGTGGTAAGGAATCAAGTTTATCAGATGACAACTGTTTTATTTTAAGTTCAGTATTTTCTTGATGACGCTTGAGATTTTCTGTTTGAAGAGTTTTCAGTTTCTTCCTATAGATCATCTTTTGCTTTCTGCACCGATATAAATCCTCTTTGACTTTTAACAATTCAGACTGCAAAGCAGAGATTTTATTGACATATAATAGCTCAGGATGCTGTGTAGTTGCTGCTTCAGATGTGAAGGATTCTTCTATTTCCTTTTCTACAGTTGTTACTTGGGAGTGTGTATCATGCAAATCTAATGATTGATAAAAAAAANTTTTTTTATCCCTTACTATTTATAGATGTAACTGTAATATTTGAATACATTTATCAATATTTCTGGAAGTATTTACTAATTATCAACTTTAAACTCCATTAATCTCTACTAATAAGCAAATATCTAAAAATAAATATCCAAATTTATATATTTTTGTTTATATTTACATTTTCACTCCTTAGAAAAAAACATACACAAATAGTTTCAGCAATTAAGCACATTTAAATCTTGAAATTATATTCAATTATAATCTTATGATGTTTATCAGTAAAATAATAAAAATCAATTAAATTTTATTTATCTAGCAATTGACGAACCAACTCTCCCATTTTATTGTTTGTTTATAATATATTGTATATATAATAGTGCAGAACAAATAAGACATTGGCAAATATTTTAAGTGAACTTTCTGGTGCTAACTTTTGTTTAACTTTACTGTATCTTTTTTACATTAAATTTTCAAACTAGAATTCTTCATAAACAAATCAGTCACATAAAAGAAATGGAAAATATCAATGAATAATTCATAATAGCCTATAGTAAAATCATAAAATAAATTTTGTAAACAAATCAAATCGGGAATTTGACTTTTTATAGGAGCCAAGATGATGTTTACATAGTAAATACTGAAGAACGATTGATGGGCATCTACTTATAATTTAGCAAGAATTATCGAAATGCAAATTTTTAAACTGATAATTTATACAAATTACATAATCAAGATACGAAAAAAAAATAGTGAATTATGTTATCATTTGCATATTTTAAATTTTATCACGGCCTTGAAAATTACAGTAAAATATATGTGCTTATTGCTTATAAATAATTCTGAAAGACTTACCGATGTATTCATGTCGGTGACCGTTTCGGGAGGAGGTGGTAGCACAATCCAATTGTATTTTCTCATTTCAACGGGAACTTTCATCCTCTCGAAATCTTTCCATTGCGAAGTGAGCGATTCAAAACAGGTCAGACACGTGACTACACTCTCTCCGTTGTCCAAAGTGAGTGCACCTGGAGGACGAGGATGCTCGACGAGGAAAGGAAAATCTAAAATCGTAATTGACCGAATCCTTTTTCGGTACGTCATGATGCCGCATATATAACATACATAATGATGGCAATTATATTTTCTTTGCCAGCAGTTGTCATCTTCGGGCTGAGCGGATGTTTCATAAGCCAACCATTGAGCAATTAGAGAATGAAAACAAAAAGTGCAGACCAGAGTGCTTCCGTCTTCTGCCAGACATTCGGCTCCCGGAGAGGGAGTGTGTTTTGTGAGAAATGGAAAAAATGGACTTATTCGATGATCGTCGGTAGAAGACGAGGAAGATCTATCCGGAGCAGCTTGTACCCTAAATGTATGCCCGGAAGGAGAATACTCTCCACATATAAAACAATTTACTGCAACTAGCAAAGGCTGTCCCAAAGAATGATCCAAGGGTCCTGAAATTCGAGGTCTCGTCTGTATGTATATGGGATGCTGATCTTCTAGCATTGTTTTCATCGAATGCTGTTTTGATGGCAAATGCGACATATTTTTTGATCTGGGACTTTGATGGCCGATTAAATGTTTCATTAAATGTGACGTTTCTAAATCTAAAGGTTTACCACTCGATAATGTCGAAAAGTTAGCTTGTTGAGTAGTAATACTATTTAAAGAAAGTGTAGATACCGTAGTTAAAAGGGGTTCATGATTAGATAAAGGTCGAATATTTTCTATTTGAACTTCGGGCGACGTTACTTGAATGCAGAGAGCAGAATTAGGATTCCTCGACACATCGCCACCAGGATAAGAAAGAACAGGTTTAGTATCCGATCTCTGCGACTGGACTAACGGCATCGTATATTGTCTCTGAGAGGATGGAATGTGAGCAGATTCGAATGTTTTCCACTGATTTTCGAGAGACATTTGGCACGGCAGACACACTAACACTTTACCATGATGATCCATAGGTCTGGCGAACGACGGCCTCAACAATCCTCTTATAAAAGGAAAGTACATATTTCCGTTCTGCGGTAACGTATCTAGAGGATGTAGTTGATCTACGCTTGTCAAATGTTCGCAGACGTAACAGGCAACAGAGTCTTGTTTTCTGATCTTTTCATTACCTTTTAAATGTTGCCTCAAAACACTCATTCCTTCTGAATCGACCGCTTCGTTAAGTATTTTATATTTCCTCTCTACTTCCGGAGTTCCAGACATCTGATAAACTTTTAATTGTCTCGAAAGCGACTTATAACACAAAGAACACACTAAAGCTTTACTTTGACTGTTTAACGGAATTGCACCCGGAGGAGGTTTAATCTGTTCCAGAAACGAAAAATAAGAATCTCCATCTGCCTCAGGACAGGCACTCAACACCCTCTGAACGGACACAGGGTTTTCCATGCCGCAAGTAAAACAGACAAAAGTGGTGTCCCGAGAAGAGGAATTCATTCGAGTGGACGTAAACTGCTTACCGCCATTCCTGTTCAGCACGTAAGTTCGATCGGAATGAGGAACATTCTGCCTCTGATAACAGTCCCACTGCTGGAGAAGAAATCTATGACACAATTCACATACCTGCACTCTACCCGACCGATCCAGGGATTTGGCATTGGAAGGCTTGGGATGCCAGGCCAAATTCGGAAAGAACGGACAGTTGGAAACAGGCCTGGCGTAGACGTTCAACAAGGCGCCTGCAGACTCCTCGGAACACAAAAAGCAAACGTCCGCAGGCGGTGGAAGAGGGGACGGCGCCACTGCGGATGATCCGGAGGAGGCCCTGCTCGGCATGCTAAGGTCCAAGGCATCACCGCCGCCCCCCTCCACTGGATCGACGGACAGACCGCGGTCAGAACGGCCACGCCCGCCACTCCCGGCCGACTCTCCAGAGTCGGGACGGTCCAGCCCGAACCGGGACCGGGAAGACTCCGGACGGCGGTCGGAGTGGTGGCTGCCAAAGTCGAAGGCATTGGACTCGTAGTCCGCCTGGGTCTTGACATCCATGCCTGCGTAGGGTCCGTCATCCACTCTCTTCAACCAGTACAGTCTCTTACCCAGAGGGGTCTTCTCCCTCTCGAAAGTCTCCCACTGCTGGGTCAGAAAAGAGTAGCAGACCAGGCAGGCAGCCACCACGCCGTCCGCTCCAGGTTTCTCCGCGTCGTCGGGACAGTGGTGACGTTCGAGAAAAGGGAAGTAGGGACCGCTGTACCTAGATTTGGAGTGGAGTTGGTAATCCGCGCCGACGCTACCACACACAAAACAAACGCACGACGAGATACCCTGCTGGTCCCTGGTGCGGTGCGCCGACATTGTCACTGCCGTACGGGTTAAGAGTCGACGAGTACTTTAGTCGTACGGAAGGCAAAAGTTGTCTATCGAGGTTAGCGGGGGTCTTTCCACCGTTTCCGTTTGTTCTAGCTGATGAACTTCGGGCTTTCAAGGACGACGCCGCTCAACAGTGACTCGTGACACACAAATGCTTCTGCCCGTCTCTTTTGACGTAATCGCGACGGGTCCAAGAAGTGACGAACCGACGCACTGACACGCATTTCCATCGCGGACACCATTTCCGTCACCGAATACGTCGACGCCAATGACTTAAACAAAGAGGGAAAGCCGAAGTTTCTCCGTAAAACGCTATATGACACCTACGGCACTGGCACGTCGGCCATCTTGAGATGCTTTACCCGTGGTGCCTTGCGCCATCCTATCTGTTGAGCGGCCAACGGCCACGAACTCGGAACACACAAAAGCCTTCTCTTTTTTATTTTTATTTTATTTTCTCTTCTCCTTCCCCTCCTCTCCCCGTTCTAAACTACTCGATAAACCATTTTCTTTTCTTCGCCCCATTCCGTCCCATCTTCGGCTGCTCAAAATACGTCAACAAAACATTGGCCGCTCGGAAAATATATTTACTCCAAGCGCAAAAAAATATTTTCTTCGATAACTTAAACTATTTACGAATATATTTTAAAATATCGTATTTAAACTTTATTTATTTATTCTTCATATTTTTCTTTAAAAAAATAATTATTTCGAAATCCCGTCACGTGACACGACTACCTACTTTAAAAAAATTACGTAATCTCTTTTTAATTGCAAAAAAGTCTCTAACTTCGGTTACATAACCAACTTTTGTAACATTAATTTGAACTTAGTAATTATCGGCATTTATTTTAATTAATTATATATTCCTTAGCTCCATCTGATGGCGAACGTCGAAACTAAAACACGCACCACTTTCTCCTTCTATTTATACATACGTAAATATAATAATTACTTAAAGTTGGATCGCTGCCTTTTCGAGTTTTAAAAAATTTAAACGCGTCATAAAATATTCATTCCGCTTTGGGGAGAATCATTAATTAATAATCTTCTGAGTGGCTAATAACCTACTTTTACATCAATAACGCTAATGGCAAGGCGAAGCGCTAACCGCCGTTCGACGGGATTAAAAAAAATAATAATAAATAAAATTCAGAAGTTTTGTACATTTTTTATGACATCAAAGAAATATTTTATATTAAAAACTAAATATATAATTTTTTGTGAGAGTAAAGAATAGTTATTAATATTTAAAAAAAATTGTTCCACTCGAATGATTGAATCGCCATTTTGACTTCGTTGTCACTATTTTGGAGGTGTTTTACTTCAGTTCTGCATTTGAATAATTTATTTTGTGCTTAATTAAGTGGCGTAGGACGGTTTAAAAAGAAAGGAAAATTAACTTTTGCTCGGTTATCGATTGAAGATAAACAGGACAGACAAAATTTAAAAAAAAAAAAAAAAAAATTAAAGCGATTCAACTCGGGTTCAATATACTGTGCTTAACAGAATTTTAGCGAGTTTTATTTTTGATTAAAGTAAAAAAAAATGTCCTATTGAAAAATATCTAACTAATAAAATTTACTTATTATATTTATTAACTTTACTTATATATACAGTCGACCCCCCCTATAACACTGTTGATTCCGTTTTATATGAATTCCATGTTGTACGAGTCACTAGATTTTACAAATACGTGTGCGGGCTATGAACGGCTCACGTAATTGTAAAATCTAAGTGACTCGTACAACATGGAATTCATATGAAATGGAATAATCAACAGTATTATAGGGTGTCGACTGTATATATATAT